GCTATTTAAGAGACTGAGCTGAATACAGCACCTCAGACTGAGGAAGTCTCTCGGATGAGAGACAAAATGTTTCTACATTTTTTTTTTTTTTTTTTGAATGTCCAGAGGACCAGATTGAACTTTTTTGGATTTTGAAAGAAGCATTTATTGAGGTTGCAGATGCACTTTTTTGTGTTTTTAGAAATAAAAGTAAGGTCATCGCTGTTCTTAAGAAGGGCTGTTGTCCCGGAATATCAGGACACAGTGATTTGGGTCTGAGTGTCCTAATAAGGTGTTATAAAGTGTTGGAAACTCACTAACACACAAATGTGTGTGTGTTAAGATGCAGAACAACGTAGGACTGGGATTGTCTTGTCTTGCCTGCAGTCTGGACCAATAAGAGACTGAACCCTTATAGACCTGGCCCTTATAGACCCTTATAGAACGATGACACCCCACCACGCTGTCTCCACAGAGAGCCAGGTGTCTAGTTTTGGTTCAAGTTCTGACATTCTGATTTGTTTGGTGTTTGAAATATTTGTGTCAATATCTAAGATTTGTAAATAGATTGGTGATTCTGTGCATATGTAAGCCACCTTTTATAAATAGTGAGCACTGATTGCAGGAGGAAAAAAATTGTTGGCACACCAGGTTTCTCCTGTTTCTTTGTCAGGAGTCAGGTTAGGAAATTGTCCTTTGTTTAATTTTTTTTTTGTGGTTTAGTCCAGGTGTTTTGGGTAGACTGTTTTGTTTGTCTCGATTCTTTACTGAAGTCAATAAAACTGGTAGCATGTTATATTTTGTGTGATGTGCTGGTTTTTAAGGATGTAAGAAATAGGGAAACACCCATAATACATACGGTTTACCTGGGACAGGGATATGGAGTCGCCTCAACTGGCTCCACATCAAAAGGAGCCAGTAGAGCTGCTTTGGACATCTGGTGAGGATGCCCCCTGGACGCCACTCTAAGGAGGCTTTATGGGCATGTCCAACTGGGAGATATCACCGGGGAGGACCCAGGACACATTGGAGAGACTAGGTCTCTGCTGGCCTGGAAGCACCGTGGAATCCTCCCAGAAGACCTGGAACATGTGGCTGTGGACAGGGATGTCAGGGCAACCCAACTCTGAAACAAGTGGAAGATAATACATGAATAGATGGATGGATAGAGAGGAACAATAATAATAATAAATAATGCACACTAGAGCACTTCACATATGTAAAATCTCATAGTGCTACATTTCAAGTGTCATAAAAACAAAATAAATTAACAATAAAAATCAGTAAAATCATTCCAAACAAACTCATTTTGATGTTACAAAGTGCAGTGGATCCATGGATCATTGCAAAATCTGCGTTTTAGAATGCTTAGATTTAGCTAAACCGAGGAATGACTCTATTGTTACGATGAAACACAAGTCGTCTTTTAAGATTCAACAACATGACAAGTTGATCTTTGCCCTACAGTGAAACTGTTATCAGTGTTTTAGCTCCTTATCTTTTTATTTTAATTTTCCTCAGCTTTCTGAATGTTCACACTATTCCCCTATAGGTCACAATGCACCATTATCATCTCAATTCTTCAAAAATGCTTTTTTCAAACCACTGCAACCATCCTTCTCAAATCTCTCCCTTTGGTTTTCTTGTCACCAGCCTTTTGTTTGCTTTTGTTTTTCTCTTTTGGCTTTGCTGCTCATCCTTTGCTTGTGCTGAGCTCAGCCATTCATCATGCACCCAGCATGAGGGTGACACAAGTGAAGAAAAGCATGTGGTTGTGTGTGTGTGTGTGTGTGGGGGGGGGGGGGGGGGGTGGGGGGGTCATGGAGCATCAGCCTACAATATCTCAAAGTAACCATTTTTGAAGGGGTCACTTCTCAATCTACATGTGATATCCTGTCTTGGATCAAGTCAAATAAGACCTTTTTACACACACACACACACATGCCTGCATGCACACATTCACGCACACCCATACACCCATACACACATGGTTTCACAGCGATTGGGGGCAAATGCTGTCACAGTTTTTAAAAGGCTTCCCGTGGTTAGACATGCTTGAAATGACATTCTGGTTCACTGAAAAAGGGAGTGAGAGGAGGAGTGGAGGAGAAAAAGACAGAAGTAGAGGAGAAGAGTAGCTTTGTGTTTTACAAACATTAATGGAGACACAATACGTGAAACACCCATGTTTCACCTTGAAGGGTACATGAGCTTAGACTTGTTTCCTTATGTTCACGTTGAATAGTTGGTGTTTATTTCAAAACATGATTATTTTACAACTTTTTGTAGAATATTACAGAATCTTTGGGCTAAATTTTGAACAGGAAGGGTCTTCTGAGAAGGTGAACTGGTGTGGACTGCTGAGTGCACAGGGGCAGGATAGGGGAGTGTTTCCTTTCCTTCCAGATCCTAAAAGCCACATAAAGAAACGTTTAAGAACAATTATACAATAGATTAAATAAAATAATAATAATAATGTTGTCTTATTTGTTTATAAAACATTATTACATTTTGCTTTAAGGAAAATTAAACAGGTGCTCATATAGTGTTTTATTGCTAAAAGCAACGTGTTTTAAGTAGACACATACACACAGAGGTTTTTTTTTTTTTTTTTTTTTTTTTTTCAGCAGCAAATGCCTTAAAGGCAAGAGGATAGCTCTGGAAAGGAAATGGTCTATTAGAGTGTCTCAACCCATTTATTTATTAGTATGAAAGCTTCAGGGCTGGGTGATGTAATCTCTAACAGCTCCTTTAAAGTGTCTCTGGCAGCCACCTGAACAGCTCAGCGGTGCGTGAAGAAGTCTTTTCAGCAGGTTTTAAAATGTTGTCAATGTCAGTGTTGTTTAAAATGTTTTCAAATGTGAGCACAGTAGCCAATGTTTTTATTTCATTAACAAAATGAGCTATAATCAAAAAGGAAAACATGGTTTTGATTGACCATTCCAGTTCAGACTGTGGGGTCTGTGACATTATCACTGAGACCAACTTTAACATGCTTTGATGCCATTTTTGTATATGGTCGATTCAGTAGTTCAGATCAATTCAAGTTGTGCTTTGTGGATAAAATATGAACAATTATTATCTTACTTGTTGTAGATAGTACTTTGGACAACCTCATATTTGGGGAAAAAATGTTTTATTCTGACAAGACTGACAAACTAATGGCTAGTCTGAGCGTGACTGAGGTGTATTATTAAGCTCAAGGTCAAGGTTTCTTTATTGTCATTTGCATATGTGATACATTTGATGGAACAAAATTGTGTACACAGGGTCCCAGTTACATTGAACAAAATTATAAATTGTAAAAGAAAAAAGTAATAAGATCTAAGAAATTAACTACGGAATACACTAAACTAAGAATACACTAAACACTAATAGTATAAGTGTTGCCAAGTCTGCTTATTATAAGTGACTTTGGGCTTTATTTTTTTTCTAAAGTCGCTTGCAAGTCTTGTGAGTTACGGGTTGCGTTTTTTTTTTTTTTTGGCTTGTTTTTGAACGTGAAATTGCTTATTTGGGTTTGACTTTCTTTCCGAGTGAAACTAGTTGATTATCTCCCAGCTCCGCACAATAAAGCAAAAGAGGAGTGGTAGTAGGTAGTTTGTCCCTTCCACGCCCCCGTTTCCTGTTTATCGCTCCCACCCAAGTTGGCGAGGCGACAGGCGCACACCCAAACAAACACTCATATTGTGGCCGACCACTAGGGGGCTCCACTCACACGCAGATGTCAGGATGTTTTGTTTTTAAAAATATGTAGAAAAAATATGATTTTTTGGTGCTTTTTTAAATAAGAGCTTAAAAGTATGTCATTCAAAGTGTTTAGCATATTTTGTCTGTTTTTTATGCTTAATGCCATAATAAATGTATGTTTATACTGTTTAAAAACGGCCTATGTTTGACACAATGTGGTGGGTTGCCAGTTGAGCTTTGTTTGGGCTAGTTTTCGTAGAGCTGGTTGCTTGTTTCTATCATGAGATCTGGCAACATTGAATAGTACAGAAACGATATGCCGAACAACAGCAGCACGAACATGAGTCTGTGCGAGCAGACGAGTACGAGTGAATACAGTATCATGAACTAAATCAGCAGCATGAGATCAGCAGCAAGCTCATTAAGCCTGTGAAGTTTGAACTATTGAGATTCACTTTGTTGGGCACATTTCAATTATGTCTGTTTCCTTTATAACTTCACTACTTGAGCTGCTGGTAAGGGCTCACATGCAGCGGTAATATTCACACCTCAGTCTGTTGCTACACAGAGGAAAAACTGTGTAACAGCCAAGAGGTACTACTGCAATAAAAGTAAATGACATGATAAAAAAAAAGTTTTCTAATGTGATGTGTTTTCAGTTGCTGACCTCTTATTTGCAACACATAGGCTTCTCTTAGCTATCAACTGATCAAAACATGAACTTCCACTTGATGAAAGAATGAATGCCCACAATGAGGTAGAAGATATCTTCAAACTTTTCAAGGCTCAGAATCGTACCGATCTCTCTGCTTGTTTTTGATATCCTCCTCACCCTCCTACAGTTTTCTAACCTCATCTTGCTCCGGTCTGCCAAACCCCACAACCCAACCCCAGTTTTCTTTCCACCCATGTCCTCCCTCCCTGTGTGTGTGTCTGTGTGTGTGTAGGTCAGCCCTCCCTAGTAGGAGAGCATAGTAAACTCCCCTTTTTGCCTCTCTCTGTTTCTCTCTACCCCAGTTGGCCTCGCTGCTACCGTCAGACCAGATTGGAGGACTCTCGGCTCCAACTGCTGCTGCTGTCGTTGCTGGTATGTTTTGGGTGGTGTGGACTTACTCACTTTGTGACGGACCCACAGACACGCAGAGAGGCTGATACTCCCCCTTACCTCTTGCTCTCAGTCCGTCTCTGGAGCATACACACGCACACTCAGAAGGAGCGGGGGTGAGTGTGAGCGACAGACCCTGTCGTGTGGAGAGAGCTGAAGGAGGACGGAGCAAAGAGAAGAGAAGAGAAGAGCCGAGCAGCAGACTTTACCATGCCAGGGCAGGGAGATCGGCTGAAGTGCTGCCTCACTCGCTACCTCTGGAGCTGGAGTCCTCTGCTGTGGCTTGGATTGTTCTCACTGCATGCACAAGGACACGGTGAGTTACAAACTTTCCCTGCTCACTGCTGCCCTCGACCTTCTTGCTGCTGTTTTTACTCAGGTTGGCACTGAAGCTGTGCTGCTGCTGCAACTCCTTAAATGGAGTCTTTTTTTACACCAAAAAAACCTCCTTAACTCATCAAAGTTGTTCTTATTCTTCATTAAAAATGTTGTTTCTTGAAATCTTTCATCTGCTATGTTGTATGTGTGGACAGGGAGTTTGAGAAGTTAGTCTCAAAGTTCAGCAGCTGATCTAGAGGTGATCTTTAACAAAACGCACAGTAACTACATTTGTTCTTTCAGATCATATTTCTATGAGTCATGCCGATTGTTTAGCAATTTTTATTTCTACCAGTTTTACAGCCTTATTCCACAAAAAAATTGAATTTAAGCATCTTTATGGATCATTTCAAAAGCTGACATTAAGACAATGTTTAAATTAATCATTTAAGACAAACATGCCCTTATTGGTTACAAAATAAGGAGTAAATATTTAAAGATGTACTTTCTTACTTTTGCAAAATTGTAACAATTGGTTTCACGTTTTTCTTCCAGAGTAGAAAAACACAATGTAGTTTTTCAAAGTACACGGATAAATCCATCACCGCAGACTGACAGTTGTTACTGTTACCAGCATCGGCCACCTTGTCTGTGACCATGTTTGGTATCTACGGTGGGATCTCTGAGGTGTTGGAAAGGGATTGTGTCAGACTTAATGCTTTGTTATTTTTAGTCGCATGATGTGTTTCATAAAGGTCTGGCTTTCTGCTTTTGTTGATTTTGTTGCAAACGTTTAAGAGTCCTGGGAGTTCTTGTCAGTTTAGCAACTCCCGAAATGATCTAACATAGTTTGTAAGTTTGGAACGTCTCACCTTTTAGTTTTCTTATCTGAGGAACATCTTCAAAAATAAAAAGAAATGTCCACTTTCCTTCAGTTTAGCTTGTAAGAGTCCTTGTTAAAATTTTAAGTAATAATGTGTTGTCTACAGACATTTTAAGTGAAGTTGTTTTAAAGTTATTGTCTGTACACATTTGTCTTCTGTCTCTTTAGTTCTGATTTATTTTAAACTACCCTGAAGGTAAGTTAGCCCGCAGTGGCTCAGACGTTTCTCTTGTCTGTCTTTCCTGTCATTGGTCATTGTCACCGGTCGGCTTTCCACCTGAGTCAACACAGAGTAACCCCCGAAATCCACCGACAGATGCTTTTTTATGATCTAGAACTAACTCTTTGAACAAATAGCATTTGTTGTGAATGTCGTGGAGGTTTGCATATTGGCACTTGTTGCTTAAGTACACATGGGCACAAGTCCACCAAATGCTTAAATGTCCAAATGCTTGAACACCGTCTGCTCTGTCCAGGAACACGACACGCAGCTGCCAGGGAATTATCCATATGTTCAAGCTGACATATAGTTGGTAATATACAAAGATAAACTGTGCTTTGCTTCTGCCTCTCATTTACAGAGGTTTTTTTTTTTTTAAATTTTGAGCACATATTTAAAATGGAAACCTTTAATTCCCGCTAGATGTTTTAATGTGGTAAATTCTTGTTTCTGTGGTTGTTTCAACCGTACTGCAAAACCTCCTGTGCTGTGTTGTAGCAGCAGCACTGTAAGCGAAACAGTGCTGGTATGCACCAGATTTGAGCAAAATGCTTTGAATGCTGGAAAATAATATTCTGCAGAGTTTTATGAGGCTTTAATCTTGTTTCTTTACTTTGGTTGGATGGATGGGTGAAAGCAGATCCAGTCAGATGCCAATAAAAAAATAAAAAAACACAGCAATGTTACCAAAACAAACTGTCAGAGTCAACATAGTTTATTTTATTTTATTTTATTTTTAATATAGGTCATATTGCTGATGTATAAAAGAAAGATACATCTGTATTTGATATACAGGACTGTATTTGATTGTAAAGTTGTTTCACTTAATTTACAATGTTTTACTCTATGGACACTTTTTTGGATGTATATTTTAAAAATGTACATTACATTTATGTATTTCTTTGTGTAAATTATGTTTCACCCTCATGTGCCTTACAGCAAGCTCATTTTTATGAGCCACTTGACTGTAATATTTTGTAACAATCCTCTACACTTCCTGTTTAAGCAGAAGTGTGTGTGCATGTGTGTGTGTTTTATAGACAGTGGCTGATTTGCCCACTTGGATACAGTCTTCAAAATGTTTAGATTAAATTCCATGCCGGTGCCATTTATTTAAGGTTTACTTTACTGCCTACAAATATAAAGCTCATGTATTATTCTCCCAGTTATTGGGACGGATGCTCGACTGATACTGTGGCACAATGTGTTGATATCACATTCATTTTCAAACATTTCATTTATTATAATAAAATGTCAACAAAAATTCTGTATGAAATAATATTTGAGGTAAACAAATATTTGATGAACTCTTAAACATCTGAGAGACAATTTGAAATTCAATGGTGAAAAAATTGCATCTCTTGTTCCTCAGCTTTAACAGTTACTGTATGCCTAGTGCGTGGTGTAGCACCCATAAGGTCCAACCACGGTGTTATTGTTACTAAAGTTGTAATTTTTTCAGGTCTCTCTTGTTCAGGTCTCTCTTGTTCAGGTCTCTCTTGTAAATGAGTCTCCGAGACTCAATGGGATTAACCTGTATAAATAAAGGTCGAATGAATGAAAAAATTTGGTTGTGGATATTGAATCAAGTTACACAATCGTATAAAAACTAAGATTCAAAACTTTATGCAGATAGCATTTGTTGATATGTTTGTTGGTTGACATGAAGATGATTGATTGGACTGACAGTTAATAGATTAACCTGCACATGATGTAATTGTTTTCTGGTAATAGCCTGCTCTTATAATTTAAAATAACTTTCTTAAAAAAAACCACTAAAATCTATTTTCAGAAAGATGATGCAGGTGTAAGATTTTTGTCCCTTTAACTGAACATTATGTGCTTAACTTTTTCCTAACCTCTGGGTTTTATTTCTCTTCTCACTTTTTTCCACTTCAAAACCACTTTGTAAACTAAACCAAGCTCCAAACTTTTCGTGCTGCAGTTGGTTTAGGTTTGAAGCCATGCAGCAGACGGCACCTGTGTTGTGTCTGCTTGCAGGGTACAGCTTGCCCTTTCACATTTCTATCATTGTCTCTGCAGTAAACAAATAACGGACATTGTATTTGTTACTGTGCAAGCAGAGAGGAGAGCAGAGGGAATTCACACACTTTATAAATCACACACATATTTTGTGACCTTCCACCTACGCCAAGCTGCAGCCCTCCATGTGGCTTCTGGGAAGTGAGGAGGGAGCGTGATAGCTTACATTTCATTGTCCTTGGTGGGAATAAGCGCTACTGTATCAGTTTTCACAGTCAAAGCTTTGCCAGTTGCTTTGCTTTTGTCACTGCTGTCTGATACGACTGTTGCACTCTGCAGAAATGGAGGCTAGTAAAGAAAATAATATAAAATCAAGCACAAACTGTTTCTTTTTTGTTTTTGTTTTTTTTTGAGAAATCCAGCTAAACATGTCTGGATATTTTGTAAACTGCTGAGAACATGAAAGTTATTTTAATTTGTAATTTTTTAAAACCGCTGTAGAGACCTCTGTGCTCATCTGTCTGTGTCTGAGTTCCATCATGTATTTTAATATTTCCAGTTAAATCTCCTCTAAAACCTGTTCAGTTTAGATTTTTTTTTCTTTCAGAGCCAAAGATTTCTAAGTTGATTATTTCTCATAAAGTTCAAAAGTCATTGATTAAAAAAAACCTGACAATTTTTTAAATGCAACTTTAAAATTTGTGTGGCACATTGTTTGAGAGCTGACCTGCTGTACAAAACTGCAAGCGTTACTTTTAGTTCCTTAGTCTCAAAGCTTTCTGCCAGGATGTTTTCTGCTCACTTTGTAGAAACTGATACCTTATTAGAACCACTGAAGTACTGGCTGATATGTTGAAAGGAAATTAATTGTTAAGAGAAAGGCATATAAGGTGCACACAAAACAGGTCTTTTCTTTGATGCATGTAAAAATTTTATCTTTGACACTTTCAGGGATAAAAAGTTGAGGGACTGTCAAACTCCAGTGCATCATATTCGACTTGAAACTTCACGAAAACATTGAAATGATGATCATCTTAAAATGACCTCCAAAAGGTGCAGTAAAGGGAAGTGTGGAGAGTTTGGGAGTGAATGGTATTACATCCTGTAATGGATCCAGATCAAGTAACTTCTATCCCCGTCAAATTACCAGTCTGGCGCTGACTTCTTAAGGCACAGCTGGAGCAGGGGAAGTGAGCGAGGAAGTTTTGTTTCATACAAATACTTTCAGAATTATGAAGTTCAATAAAGCATTTTAACCATAACTAAATATTAAGAAGTGTAGTTCAGACACTTACTTAGTTTAACAACTTTATTTTATCTTTCACTGTTGTTGTGTTAGATTTTGCAATCATCTTAAAATTTAAGGTTACAGCATGGTAGCATTTAGGACTTGGTGTTTTGATACATTTGTTGACCTGGCATCAGAGCCTATTGTGAGCTGCCGTTCTGATTGCACGAGCTGCACACCATGAAGCACAATAAAGTGATGGACAGATAACAGGTGAAGACGAGCAGGGCAAAGCTGGCCGTCACAACTGCAGCATACAGAGACCAGGAGGGCTTAAAAGTTTTCCATGCACTTGCCATACCTCTCTCTATGCACAGTCTTTGGACCTTTTATTCACATACCTTCTGATAGAGAAGGTTTTCATGTTTTTAAAATAATCAGTCCAGATATAAAATAATATTCCAATTGGCATCTTATGAGATTTTGATTGCAAACATAATACTAACATCAAAGTTGGTATAATCATCTTAGGTGAATCACACAGAGCAAACAGAAGTGGCTTGGTGCCAGATTAGTGTGTGCTTACCTACAACAACCCAGCATTGCGGAATCAGCTGAGTAATAACTCGGTCATAAGTAGACCTTAAGTGCTGCATGCACCCTTCCACTGATCCTTCTAATAAA